GTAACATCTATTTGATGTATGACCTAATTTCATGCAATAAAAACATGTTGGTTTTCTTTAAAAAGGTCTAAATGCGTTTCTTAAAGTTTTTGAAACTGGTTTCACATATGTTTTCCTTGACTCTTTCACAAAAATAGTTTTATGAGGTTCTAGACTTTTTTGGGTTTGTAACCAAGTCTAGCTTTGCTAGAATTTTCTCTTTGATAACCTAATATCGAATCAAGATTTTCAGAAGATTTTGAAAAATTGCTTATTATTTTCTCTAACTTGAAAATCTCATTTTCCAAAAGATTACAATTTTCACAAGGTTTAACAATTTCTTTATTTTTAGACAAAGTTTTATATTTCTCAACATCTTTCTTTAAGCACTCATTTTCTTTTTCAAGAATACCAACAGTATTTTCTAATGCATTAAACTTTTGCCTAAGTGCATTGTATTTCTTAGATAACTTGGTAAAACCTTCATACATATCTTGATATTCTTTAAATAACTCATCATATTCATTTAAGGAATTTGTACTACTTACCTGTGATGAGGCTTCATCATCACTTTTTGTCATCAAGCAAAAATTTGCTTCTTCTTCTCTATCACTGCTTTCGGAAGAACTTTCTTGTGCTGTGGAAGAATCATTATCCTCCCAAACAATATAAGTTTTGCGTTTTCTCTTATAGGTATCGTTCTTCTCTTTCTTCTTCTCTTTCACATCTTTCTTCTCTTTCTTAAGTTTCGAACAGTCTGATTTGATATGACCAGGTTTTTCACATTCATAGCAATGAAATTTATTTGTTTTCTCATTTCTTTACTGTCTCTTTTTCCTGTTCTTCATAAAGCGAGAAAATTGTTTAACAAAAAGAGACATATCGGAATCCGAAAACTTACCTTCATTTTCGCTTTCATCTTGTGAAGATTTTTCTACTTTTAGAACTATCATCTTGGTTTGATTCTATTCACCGTTCTTTAACCTTTGTAACTCCATCTCATGTTCTTGCAGCTTTCCAAATAGAGTAGCAATATTCATCTTTGTGAGATCCTTTGATTCTGTAATAGCAGTGACCTTTGGTTACTAACTCCTGTCTAAGGATTTCAAGATCTTTGTGTTCAACTCCTCATTGTCAAAACTCTTTCCTAATGTTTTCAAGTGATTTACTATATGTGTGAAGCGTGTTTGGAAATTCGTGATGCTTTCATTTTGCTGCATTTGAAATAATTCATACTCTTGGATGAGTGTATTTTTACGTGCTCGCTTTACTTTATTTGTTCATTCATGTGTTACTTCAAGAGTGTCCCATATTTCTTTTGTCGTCTTGCATTGTGAGACCCTGAAAAATTCATTACGAGTTAAGGCAGAAACAATAGCATTTCGGGTTCTTACATCATAATGGGCACGCTTATTTTCACCAGGCGTCCATTGATCAAAAGTATTTGGAACAACTCCAGACTCCGTCGTTCTCATCGAAATGTAGGGACCATTGAGTACAGCATCCCAAACACCATAATCTAGTGTTTGTAAAAATATTTTCATTCTCACCTTCCAAAACTGATAGTCTTCTCCTTCAAATAATGGTGGTCTGGTTATTGAAGCTTCTTCCCTGTAAACCTGATTCTGCATAGACATCTTGACAAATTGTTTAGAAATATCTTATCTAACCAAGCTCTGATACCACTTGTTAGACAAATGGCATCTAGAGGGGGGTGAATAGATGCACAAATTAAAATAGATGTCAAATTAAAAATTTATTTGTGAGTCAATAATTTGTTAAAGCGGAAGTAATAATATAATCAGGAAAAGAGAAAGAGATAAGGGAAAGAGAAGAGCACACAGAGAGTTATACTGGTTCGGGTATTGCCAACCCTGCATCCAGTTCTCAGTCAACTCTTAACACAAGAGTGACTCCCCATTCACTATCTTTCAAATTCAGTTTACAAATTACAATCAACTCAGCAGAAGAACCAGTAAAAAGTAAACTAATTAAAAAGACAATCACCTCCTTAGAAACTCACTAAGGATGAACATCTCCCTAGAATCCCACTAGGGATGAACACCTCCTCTAAACAAATCAAAGGATGAAAAACACCTCCTTAGAATCCCACTAAGGATGAACCCCTCCTTAGAATCTCACTAGGGATGAAAAACACCTCCTTTTCCACCAATACAAAAAGGATGAAGGTAATAAAAATAAGAACAGACACACTTGGGTAATGGAGACAACAAATTGTAGAAGTCTGTAGAATGTCAATCTCCAAGAACAAGTGTGATTTACAATGAAAGCACAGAAGGCAGTAGAGAAGAGAGTTTTCTCAAAAGGTGTAAAATATATTTGTTGCCTTGCTGAAAATTCTTTTGTCAAAACTGATTGAATGTAAATTGTATTTTCGAATTCTGTAATTGTGTGTTTTTTATTTTTCATCAAAACTTAATTAAATAGAAAAATAGCATCAGAAAATGGCCGTTGGACATTAATAATATCATAGAGAAAATTAGGATGTGTTCAAAAACATTTATTCTTTAAAACTGATATATTTTTCAAATTTGAATTGCTATAATTAATTATATTACCAAGTATAATTAATTATGATAGAGAAAATCATTTTTCCATTTCTGGTGCATCATAATTAATTATGATAGTGAAAAATATCATGTTATGAATTTTATCACACTTGTGCTTTGGAGGCTTATCCATAATATTACTTCATCAACTTGTACCTTCATATCTAGTATTCTAAGACTCTATCTAGTCTTCAGGAATCATCTTGGGCTTGCTTGAATCATCATCTTTATCACCTACGTCATAAATTCAGTTTGTCCTTAAATTCATCTTGAATGTTGTTGACTTGAATGTAGTTGAATTGAATCATCATCAAAATCATCTCTTGGGAATGCAGGAACATTTCCATCAATCTCCCCCTCATTGCTTTCAGTGGTTTGTATACACTGTTTTTCAAAGTGAAAACAATTCATAACATGAATTTTGAGAAAAAACCATCTTACTTTTCGGTGAGACTAACAAAAGAATTTAAGATGAACAAATGATGTGAGAGTTGAAGCCACCGACATAGAGACTCAGAGAGTGGCTAGTAAATTGAACTCATATATATTGATTACATCACTTAATGGAAGGTTCACAGTCTTTCACTACACAACCCTTTTTAGGCACTACACAACCTTTTTTAGGCAAAAATTATAAAACAGCTCTGATAGCTGTTGAACAAATTATAAATTTCCCTCTGGTGGGATACAAAAGTCTATACTAGATATAGACAGTATAAATACTTTTCTAGAAGAGATTTCTAGAAAACTAAAAAGTTTGATAAAACTATGTGACAACATAGAGTATATGGGATACTTTAAGTCACGTAGAAAAATCCTTGGGGTTATTTAGCTAACCCAGCTACAGATAGGGACTACCAACAAGCTTTAAATACCTTGTTAGTATAACACAGAGAACTACAAGAATGATTCTCAAAAATCCTATCAAACATAGACCTATAACAAGATAAGCTAGTGGAAAATAGGCATAACACTTCTGCTATTCCTGACAATGAAAACATTTCTATGATGAATATTGTAGAATGTGAAGAAGATGAAGATGATGACATGACTGATGAGGAATGGAATCATCATCAGGCTATCATAGCCATGTTCAGACAAGGAACTTCAAATTCTTTGTCCCATACAAATAAAAATGTCCAAATTAATGAAGAAGATGATATCATTAATGAGATGGACAACATTATAAATGCATTCTTAGATGAATATTTTCCAGATAAGGAAAATGATACATTAGATAATGCATCTAAAGTCTCAGAACTCTTACCCATATTAGGGTTAGAAGACACCAATGATGAAGATACACTGGATAATGTATCTTTAAACGAAGAATCATTGTCTAAGTTAGACAACACAAATAGTGATACATTAAATAATATATCCATAGTTTCAGAACTCTTATCAACATTAGAGTTAGTAAATACAAATGAGGGATCAAATAGTTTTTAACCTCATAGCTATCAGTTAGAACCTGATGGTATACACAGTTACTCTATAGGTTTTCCACCTAGAGTATCACCACAAATGTTGTCTTTAGTGACAACCAATACACAACATTAGGCAAAAGACTTTCGATAGAGCCAAATTTCCAAATGCCTAATCTTCTTCTAAACATAGGAGGAATAGATCCTCAATTATTGCCAACATACATTGAGCAATGGACTGCAGTTGTAATCCGTGATTATGGCATAAATCATGAGAAAGAGGTTCACTCTTCCCAAGAAATGATTGCTAAAACTGAAACCTATTTATGTGATATAGCTAGAGCCTGCTGGGAATCTTTTAAGAAAAATTACCCAGCTGACTTAAATATGTTTGTGATCAAACTAGGTCCTAACATATACAATTTTTGTTCTTTGTTACAAAAAATTACTTACTTCCAAGTCTGCTAATGATGGGAACACACTCAGACAACATATTTATCTGGGTCATTTGAAAAGACTTTCCATAACATATTTTGGAAAGATCGAAGAATTTTTACAAGATTATCTTATGTACGCATCTATAGTTGAATATTTTCCCCCTCTTTCTTTGGTAAAGGCTAGTCCTTTCTGAGCTTAACCAACCGATATTGTATAATTGTCTAGGATTCAAGGAATTTATCTTTATATTTGATCCTATCTCAATATTTTGTTGTATATATATTAAGTATTCCATCCGTATGATATTAGTAAATCTTTGTCTATTTAATAATTTATGTAAGATATTCGAAGTTGTATTAGGTTTTGACTAAAAGCCACCGACATAGAGACGCAGAGAGAGTGGCTAGTAAATTGAACTCATATATATTGATTACATCACTTCCATGCTAAATATGAATATTTCATAAAAGAACACGTATATAAACATGAGTACTAAGGTTGACACTTGATACTGGACAAAAACCCTAAGCAGAGACATAGTGACGTCGATTATAAGATATTCTACTATTTCCTGAAGGAAGACCAACGACTAGGATAATCCAAAGAAAAAGGAAGAAGCCATATGCAGGTTTATCTCAAGGATGAGCCCACCGCTGCCACCACCAACGGTCCCACCAACACCACGGCTGCCACCACCAACGCTCCCTCCAACACCACCGCTGCCACCACCAACACCCCCGCTGCCACCACAAATGCTCCCACCAACACCACCGCTGCCACCACCGCCTACCTGTACCAACGATTCCACCTATCCCCGTAGTGCCACCACCTAGCCCACCGCCACCTATTCCTCCGAAAGGTAGTCCATTGCTCCCAATTCCCGAATAACCACCATTGCCACCATAGGTGATGAAGTTCTTATGATCCTTAAGACCAGCATCGCGTGGTGCCTTTCTGGCATTTGTGGCCACAGCCACAGCCAGAGCAAGAACCAACACCACGATACACCACTTAGCCATGTCTCTCTCTATTTGTCTCACTCCCACACAGTATGAATATACACCATGTAATTGCACTCCTTTGGTTATTCTCGTTGACTGTGTCGTGTGTCGAAGTGTTTGGAGAATGTGCTTTTATAGAAGGACAACAAACTAACCAGTGGGGAGCAGTTGAGCATGGTAAATGAAAATTTAATGTCATTGCAGAGTCTTCCTGTGCTTCTGTGATTGAATCAAGATCTTCAACAGTTATTTTTATAAATCTCAAGGGTATTTATGATGATATCTTTAGGTAAATGTTGCTTTTCAATCTCTTACTCCGTCACATATCTTTGATATCTTAAGATAAAAGATTTATATAATTATCCATTATCAAGACTTTTAAGTAAAATGAGACTTACTAAAATAATTATTATTTTTAATTATTAATTACTCTATGTATCATCATATAATATTATCAAACAGATAAAAATAACAAATAACAATTATAATCTAATATCGTTTATCTAATTGTAATGATTTTTTGGGCTGGGATGATTTAGTGGAGTCAATTACAATTTTTTTTTTCTATTTAATCAAATATCATTTTCTTTATGATAGTATAGTTCAGATCTATTATCATGTTTTAAATTTAATTTATCATTTTTCAAATTTAAAAGACATTATGAAGACATTTATGAGAATTAAGAGTTAAGAGCAAAGACTCTATCTAAGAGTTAAGATCAAAGACTGTGTCTATTAAAATTTATTATTACTTTCTCAAGTATTATTCTTTTAGAATTTTAATCCATGAATTAAAAAATATATATTGATAAATTAAGAGAAAAAATATATATTAACTATTCTTATTCTCGAGAATTAGACTTGTAAATGTGAAACTGAAACAATCTTTGAGTGACTGACTCTCTTATCATTATTTAGTTTAAAAAAAATTGTTGAATAATGAAATTGTATATGGAAAAATGTATTAGAGAGTTTATTACTAACATTTCTTATCCCAACAATTCGAAAGGTGTAAAGAAACTGAAACAAGTTAATGATGTGAAACAGTATTTCTTTTTTTTTTTAAGAAAAATGATATTTAAAAACTCAAATTCATACAACTCCTATAAACAACTCTTTTTTCATATTATAATAATAATTTTATAATTTATAAATTATTATATTAATAAAAATGAGCTGAATTGAATGTTTTCTAATTGTCAAAATATCACTACTCATTTTTTTTATTTTATTTAATCAATATAGTTTACACCTTACTCAATTATATTAACATTTTTATCATTTTTAAGATTTTCTCTTTTCTCCCTTGTTTATTAAGTGGTGGTTTCGAGAAGAATATTCAATTATATGTGATTAGTAAGTATAGTATTCAGAAGGAAAGACTCAGTTATTTGTAATTACTAAGGAATGATATTTCAAACTAACAGTATAGTTTACAAAAAGAAAAAAATACATAATTTTTTTAAGTATATCGTATTTTCCTTTTTGTATTAGACACTTCTCTCTTCCCTCTTAGGCATATATACGCATATTTGAAATATAAGTCACTCTAACAATAATTTAAAACAAATTTTCTTCTTATCATTCTTTATTTTATTTATTTTTCACATAGTTATAGTAAGTAATTTTTTTTAATGATGAAGAAAAAATAAATAGTGAGGGGTTTGAAATTATTTTTAAAATGAAATTAGTTATTTTTAAATATTCATTAGCACTGTAATCCTAAACATTTGAAAGTAGAGAGAGTAGAAAAAGCAAGTAGTAAATTGATAACACATGTATTGATTAGATTACTTTCAAGATAAAATGAAATATTCCATATATAAAAGAACCACGTATATATGAGTGCTATGGTTGACACAAAACCTAAAACAAATGAAAGACGAAATGACACATTACATGATCAACTACTATTTTTTACTTTCTGCAGACATGAAAAACTTGAGTGCTTCACGATTAACACTACATAAACAACATTATTTCCTGAACGAAAAAGAAAGACTAGGGTAATCCAAAGAAACGTGAAGAAGCTACACCCCATGCATGCATGCATTACTTTCAACCATCTCAAGGGAAAGGAACAACACCACTGCCTCCACCAAGGCCGGTTCCAACGCCTCCACCAACACCGCCACCAACTCCACCACCGGTACCACCGAATCCTCCAATTCCACCGATGCCGGTAGTGCCGCCGAGGCCGCCACCAAGTCCACCACCAAGTCCACCGCCAAAACCTCCACCTATTCCGGCACCAGCTCCTCCAAAAGGTAGTCCATTGCTCCCAATTCCAGAATAGCCACCAACTCCACCATAGGTGATGAAGTTCTTCTGGTCCTTGAGACCAGCATCCTTGGGTGCGTTTCTGGCACTTGTGGCCACTCCAACCAGAGCAAGAACCAAGACCAAGACACACCACTTAGCCATCTCTCTCTCTCTCTCTCACTCCCACACAATAGGAATACTTTGCACTCTCCTTTTGGTCACTCTAAGTCTGTGTGGCGAAGTGTTGGGAGAACATGTTTTTTTATAGGGGAGAAGGTAATCTATCAGGTGAGGGGCAGTTGAACGTGGTAAATGAAACATTAATGTCTGGTCACAGAGCCTTGCTGTCATCAGACACCTTGTCCCGGATACACTTTAAGACCATTTTCGTACCCTGCCACATACGTTTATGTATGTATGTATGTATACATTTTTCCTACTGAACACGGAATCCTATATTCTAGTTTGTATTCCAAATTCACTCACTTCCCAAATGTGATGAAAGAGTTAACTTGCTAGATGTATATGTATACACCTCAAATCACTTTTTTTTTTTTTTTTTTCATACATGTTAATAATAATTTAATTATTTAAAGTTAATTTAATAATACAAAATATTTAATTCAATCTTACAAATCTAATTTAATAAAGAGAGAATTACACTCGTCATTTAACGTCGGTTATAGCTGAGACACCACGTCGGTTCCCAGATGAAAGTTGAATATTGCTTTTAGTCAACCGACGTAGAAAGTACTTTTCACGTTGGTTCCCATATGAACGGATGTGGAAAGTCTTTTTTTTTTTTTTTTTCACCAAAAAATATCGTCATTTAACGTCGGTTATAACTGAGACATCACGTTCCCAGATGAAAGTTGAATATTGCTTTTAGTCAACCGACGTAGAAAGTACTTTCCACGTCGGTTCCCATATGAACGGATGTGGAAAGTCTTTTTTTTTTTTCACCCAAAAATTCACTTCAATTTGAAAATTGTCACTGGCAGGATTCGAACTCAAGATTTTAGAATTGACAACTATTACTCTATTACTCTAACCACTAATATATTTTCTGGAAAGTATTTTTATTTTTTTTTTCAGCCAAAAATTCACTTAAGCTAATGAATTGTCACTTATAGCATTTGAACCCAGTATTTTAAAGTTGAAAGTTAATACCTCAACCACTAAACTACTACAATTTTTTGATAATAACTTACAAATAAATTATATTGGTATTTTTCGATCGAGGGTAAAAGTGAGATTGACTCTTGCTTGAGTGAAAATATGTTAAAGCTCACGGAAATTCACTCACTCAAGCCTCGCTTGAGTGAAAATTGGTATTTTTCGCTTGAGAGTGAATGACACATTTCCCAAATTTATTTTATATCATTATATAAATAAAATTATAAAGATTATATTCTGTCATTAAATTACAAACTCATATAAAGATATCTGCTCACAAATTTAGCATCAAATTTTGAAAACCCACTCGACACACACTTTCACTTTCGAGTGTGCCCTCACATCCAACATATAAATATATAACTATATAAATATATTAAAATATATAAATATATTTGTATTTATATATTTATATATTTACACGAATATATATTTATTTGTATATAAATATAATTTATTTGTAAGTTATTATCGAGAAAATTCTAGTAGTTTAGTGGTTGGAGTATCAGTCTCCAACTCTAAGATATTGGGTTTGAATCTTGCCAATGACAATTCTCTTAAAAAATTAATAAACTTCTAGATAAATAATGGAGGAAATTTGTTGTAAATAAATAAAAAATATTAATTTAAAAAAAAAAAGCATACTTTCAACGTCGGTTTATTAGAAGTAGTGATTTTTTCTTTATGCGTCACTTAATATTTAGGAGTTCATGATTTATTTTTCTTTCTATACTTATCTTATTTTTAACTTATTTCCCAAAAAAAAAAATATTCACTGGTTGGTAGGAAGAATAAAATATGTATTGAAGAAAAAAAAATCGAGTTCATTTTTTATGAAATTAAGTTAAACATTAATTTTAACTTAAACAATAAAATCTAGTCACTTTTCTATCATTTTAAAAGAAATATTTAAATATCTTGATGTGATTTTTATAAATGATATATTTGGAAGAAAGAATGTGTGAGGTCATATTTAGAATGTTCAACTTACCCGTTTGAAATTTCAACTACTGATATCACACATCATATGTTATGTACTCATTTGGTACAATTTAAACACAAGATAATACTTGTAAAGTTGAAATATTTGAAATAAAAGTGAAATTAATTCTAAAAAAACTACTTTGCTAACAAATATAAAAATAAATGGGAATTTCGTTCGCTTATACTATTTTTAGGTTAAGTGGAAATATCACTTTTACAAGAATATTCAAATGTTTGCGCATTTTTTTAAAAGACATTTATTAAAAACTAACCCAATTATAGGTTACTTTTATATATTTATGAAAAAATTATTTATTTAGCATATGGAATACTATTCAACAAAAATAAGTTTCCATGAGTAACAAGGACTGTGAAATTATTTAAACAATGAAATATTTTATTTATGTTATGTATAAATACTGTGCATTTATACTGTGAAGGGGTGCGAGTAATAATTTTGTTTGAAAAAATAACTAATAAAATAGCCCAAAGTGGTGGCCCAAATCTACCAAATCCCAAGGCTTCAGTTTTAGCCCAACATCAAATTGTAACCATGACTTGTACCCAAAAAGGAAAAAGACTTGCGCAAACGAAGACCAGGTAGGTAAGATAAGGAATATCAAATTGTTATTGACATTTTCATTTCAATTTAAATAATGTATTTTGTTTAAAAGGAAAAAATAAAAATAACATATTAATATTTTTCTTAAAAAAATTTAAGTTTAGGTGGACATTAATTCAATTTAAAGGTTTTAGGTTTTTCCATCTCCAAAAATTGGAAACATTGTAAATAATGCTAACGAAAGCAATCATTGTATTATTAGAATAATTAAACGTTAAAAGATATTTTTTTAATATTTATAGAACAATATTAAGGATACTGTTAACATAAATATTTAAAAGCTACCTTTTGGATTTTATTTCGGGTCATCTATACTACATGTCTTGTGACCAAGAGTTATCATAAAGTAAAATATAAAACTTAGAAACTACTCAATCGTTTTTTTTTAATAACTTTACAGTTCATAAAAAAAAATAGAATACAAATTTGTTATATCATATTAAAACTAACATATAGAATTATGTAGAGCATGCTTTAGATATTTCTATTTTCAATCAAAATTCTTTCCTCAAAAAAAAAATATTATTTTAAGTTTCAAGGTAATGTACATTAAGATTGTTGGTTTGAAAAAAAAAGATAAGATTATTATAAAAAAAACAATACAAATAAAATATTTATTTATTCATAATAAGGAAAGTAATAAAAAATAATATTTCTTTCTATTTTAATTTACAAGTAACTTTTTACTAAAAATAAGTGAAGAGAGGAAATAAAATATTATTTTATAAAATTATTATATTTTCAGTAAAGATTATTATTCTTTTGATACATGTTTATAAAATATTTTTTATAAAAAAATTATTTTTTAATATTTAAATTTAAATTAATAAAATGATATAACATTAAAAGAATATTACATATAATAATTTATTTTTTTATTTGAATAATAACTTTTGAATAGCATAATTAAAAGTTAATATATTGAAATTTTTTATATAAGAATAAATATTCATTTATTAAAAAATAATTTTGTATAAAAATAATTTTGGTATATTTTTTTTCTTTTGTATGAGTAAAAAGTAAAACACATAACTATATATGTATATATATATATATATATATATATATATATATATATATAGTTTTATTTGCAAAAGTACCTAAAAAGAAATTTTATCTTCACATATTTTGGGATATATTTTCTTGTGTGAATATAGTTTAGATAGGGTGTAGTACCATTATCTTAACTATTTAAGGCAACTTAATATTACCAAATTTATTATGTTAATGATTAATTTTACTTCAATTTAAATATATTAAAATCCTTATAAATGTATTACTTTATCTATTCTTAGTTAATTACAATTGGTCCAACATTAAAAAGGGGATGTAGCATTAACTGATTATAATTCTTTGTTTGATAATAGCTCCATTCCCTTCCATAATATCCAACAATTCCATTTCTCATGTTGTTCCTGATGAGCCCACCATAAACATACTATCTTCCTCCACCTTCATGCATTGAATGATTCAACCCATCCCTCCAGATTCTGGTTCGGTTCATTGATGACATTTTCGAATAAATCCTTCGCTAAAACAACCTCATTACCTTTGATCATGCGGTGATCCAGCATTCTTTGTTCAGAGACTACATTAATTTTATTCCTTCATATGAAATAAACTAATTGATATCTTTTCTTAAATTCGGTTAATCTAATATTAGTATAAGGTAAGTTTTTCGTTAAAACAATGTAACAACAAATATGATTAGTGCAACAATGTAACGTAACATTTATCTCAAAAAGAATAATTAAAATTAATAAAACATAAATTTTAGCATAATAATTGTAATATCATATCAATTAAAATCTCAACACAAAACAATCGATCGGATCAGACACTAAATAATTGAGTATCCTCAATCTAAATAAATAGACAACATAACAATTCAAACAAACAACGTTCATATCCAGATGGAAAAAATGACTACTATCCCATCAAACAAAAATATGCCGTTAAAGTCCAACAACAAAAAACCATTAATCAAGTTCTTCAGCAAAATAAAAAACAGTTATGGAGGAAAGCAACAACTAATATTTAGTCCACTTCCTCAATCTTGGGACCTGCGCCACTTCCACCAGAAGGAGTATAATCATCTTCTGCAGCACTAGCACCAGCACCAACACCACCCATGTCTGGACCAGCACCACCCTGGTACATTTTAGCAATGATAGGATTGCAGATGCTTTCCAATTCCTTCATTTTGTCTTCAAACTCGTCTGCCTCTGCAAGCTGGTTGCTGTCTAGCCATTGAATTGATTGCTCAATTGCATCCTCAATCTTCTTCTTGTCGGCAGGATCCAGCTTGCCCCCAATCTTGTCATCCTTCACAGTGTTCCTCATATTGTATGCATAGTTTTCCAAGGCATTCTTGGCCTCAACCTTCTTTTTATGCTCTTCGTCCTCAGATTTGTACTTCTCAGCCTCTTGAACCATCTTCTCAATATCTTCTTTTGATAATCTACCCTTGTCATTGGTGATGGTGATCTTATTTTTCTGTCCAGTGGTTTTATCTTCAGCAGAGACATTCAAGATACCATTGGCATCAATGTCAAAGCAGACTGTAATCTGAGGAACACCCCTGGGAGCAGGAGGAATGCCAGAAAGTTCAAATTTGCCCAACAAATTGTTATCTCTGGTCCTTGCTCTCTCACCCTCAAAGACCTGGATCAACACACCTGGCTGGTTATCAGAATATGTTGAGAAAACCTGTTCCTTCTTTGTTGGAATTGTAGTGTTCCTAGGAATCAGAACAGTCATCACACCACCAGCAGTCTCCAATCCAAGTGATAGAGGAGTGACATCAAGGAGGAGAAGATCCTGAACCTTCTCATTGCCCTCACCACTTAAGATTGCAGCCTGAACAGCCGCACCATAAGCAACAGCCTCATCAGGGTTAATGCTCTTGCACAGCTCCTTTCCATTAAAGAAGTCCTGGAGTAGTTGCTGAACCTTGGGAATTCTGGTAGAACCACCAACAAGTACAACGTCATCAACACTTCTTTTGTCCATCTTAGCATCTCTTAGACATTTCTCCACAGGTTCCATACATTTTCTAAAGAGATCCATATTGAGCTCCTCAAATCTGGCACGGGTAATGGTGGAGTAGAAATCGATTCCTTCGTACAGCGAATCAATTTCAATGGTAGTCTGAGCAGTAGATGATAAGGTTCTCTTTGCCCTCTCACATGCGGTCCTCAACCTTCTAAGTGCTCGGGGGTTTCCACTTATGTCTTTCTTGTTCTTTCTCTTAAACTCTTGCACAAAGTGGTTCACCATCCTGTTATCAAAATCCTCTCCTCCAAGATGGGTGTCACCAGCTGTGGCTTTCACCTCAAAAATACCCTCCTCAATCGTAAGTAAAGAAACATCGAAGGTCCCACCGCCTAGATCAAAGATCAAGACATTCTTCTCGCCTACACTTGATGCCTTCTTGTCAAGACCATATGCAATGGCAGCTGCAGTAGGCTCATTGATAATACGCATGACATTAAGACCAGCAATAACACCAGCGTCCTTAGTTGCTTGACGCTGAGAATCATTGAAGTATGCAGGGACAGTAACAACAGCATTCTTTACTGTATACCCTAAGTAAGCCTCAGCAATCTCACGCATCTTCATGAGCACCATAGAAGAAATTTCTTCAGCAGCAAATTGTTTCTCCTCACCCTTGTAGTTAACTACAATAGTTGGCTTATCAGCAGGACCAGCAATGACCTTAAAAGGCCACAATTTGATATCACTCTGAACTGGGGCATCACTAAATCTACGACCAATCAACCTCTTGGCATCTGTGATACAAAAGAACATCTACAAATAAGCCATCCCATATTTCATAATAAATACACAATTTCAAAATCATTTCCGAGAACTTCAACCCATTTGAAGTATTGATGATAAACGTATATATAATAACTAATAAAAATTTATAGGTTAAACTATTCAGTTCTCTATAATGGTCTCTACTCTAAATTTTAGTTCATGTAGATCTCCTCATTTTGTGTAAAAATCTCCGCAATGGTTCTCATATTAAGTTTTAGTCCCTCTAGTTGCTCACATGTTAAGTAATAGTTTCAATACTAGAAACTGTCCAGCTAGTTAGACAAATCTTATGTCACAAAAAATTATTCATTGGTATTATTGACGACAAAAAACTTAAACTTTACAATTAATAAAATAGGCGAACAATGTAATCATATTTCTACACCACCGTAGATCTAAAAACAGGACATATTTTACACACATTGTTATCAAATAAAAAAAGAAGATAAAACAGATATACAAGGCTATTTATCCGCACAGTGGAAATACAGAATAAAAAAGGTGTGGTCAAGAAATGTTACCGAAAACAGTGTTGATGGGATTCATGGCGACTTGGTTCTTGGCGGCGTCACCAATGAGACGCTCGGTGTCAGTGAATCCGACGTAAGACGGCGTCGTTCTGTTGCCTTGGTCGTTGGCAATGATTTCAACGCGGTCATGTTGCCAGACGCCGACACAAGAGTATGTGGTCCCGAGATCGATTCCGATAGCAGGACCCTCTCCTTTTCCTGCCATTGTGTTTCGGAGTGTGCGGCGGATACCAAAAGAGAGATCTAAAAGGAAGGAAGATGAGAAACCACAGCGACGACACCACTGTGATTCAAGAGAGGATTATAAACAGCGTAATGGTTGGCTTATATAGATAGGGTTTGGAGTCCTTCCAGAATCTTCTTCTAGTCCTAGGAGTCGTTGCCAGTTGGCTACGCATAATTTTCACGTTCAGATCTAACTTTTTCAAATCGTGGGCCCTTAGCGGGCCTGACTCTCTTTCACCCAACCCAATACATCACTAACAGGTTTTCGTTGTTTACCACACCTATGCTTTGTGATAATTTTTTTCCCTAATGTTATTCCATCATTTGATATATATATATATATATATATTTAAACTCTTTGTCTAATGATAAGAATATATATACTTGACCATGGTTTAAATCATTATTTATATCATTTCAAAATTTTATAAATAATTACTTTATGTTTAACTCATTTTATATATTTTTATTTATATTGAATATATATTTAATTTATTATATAACTTAATTAATATAATTTTTATTTCTTTAAATCAGTCGAGTTCATTATAAACTTTATATTTATTTATTTTTCTTAAATTTCAATAATCTAAGTTTTTATGGTATTTTTATTTTTTTAATTGATTTCCCTTTTTCACTTTCTAATCCGTGCAAGTAAGTATAAAGGGATTAAAATGTAAAATCATATTTTAAGATCGGTTCATATTATAACTTTATAAAGGATACCATGCGATTTTTATTATTATTATAAGCAAATTTTATGATACATTGTAGGATTCTTGTTGTATGAATATATATATATATATATATATATATATATATATATATATATATATATATAATACTAAACATAAAAACACATAATTATATTTAAAAATAATTGACAAAAATGAGTAAAATTAATTTTTAATTTAGTCTCTAACACTCATCTTTAATTTAAAGTTGTATTTACATTTATAATATCAATTGACTTTCTTAAATTCCTAAATCATTTAGCCTCTAGAACTTTAGTAAAGAGGTATGTTAGTTATACTTCATATTTTTAGCACTCTATATCAAGTTTTTCACAATTGAATTGCTCATACAAAAAGTGAAACATTGTCTCAATGTGACTCCTTCCATGAGAAGATGAATGTCTAGCCAAATTAATTATTAATTTGTTGTTCACTAGAAGTTGTGTCTTGTTCATTAGTTTCACCTCTAGTTCATGCATTAAATAACCTAACTAGAAGTTCTGTTTGACATACTCCTTTAGAGGCTGCAATGTATTCAACCTCACATGATGATAGAGCGATCACAAGTTCTTTTGTAAAGCTTAATAAAATTGGTGCTCCTTCACAGAAGAAAATGTACCTTACAGTACTTTTTATATCACTTTTATCTCACCGATCTGAATGAATATGCAATTATTTCCAATCTTGCATATGATATTTCTTTTGGAAACAAAATTCTAAAACCAATTGTGCCTTGTAGATATCTTAGTATCCTTTTAGCATTATTCATGGGACTGTCTTGGGTCCTGCATATATTTGTTAATCAAACCACCACTATAACTTAAATATGGTCTCGTATTGCACAAATACCTCAACACATTCAACAATCTTCTGGTAGATAGTAGGATCCATTGATTCTTCATCTATTTTCTTCTCTAATCTCAGTCTAACTTCAGCTGGTGTGCTTGTTGGATTACTTTGGTGCATATTCAATTTGTTCAACAAATCTTGTGCATACTTGGAATGATGCATGACAGTATCATACATTGTCTTTGTAAACTCAATTCCCAAAAAATAATCTAGCTTTCCTAGATCACTCATTTTAATTCCCAAATAATAAAGGTAACTACTGAATCCTAAACAACTCATAATCCCTTACACGAGATGGCAACTGAGTTGTTCTAAATGATCTTCTCACACACACTACTTACTTGATCATCAAATTTTGTTTGCACAACTGCAGACTTTCTATCCAACAAAATTTTTAGATTGTATTGATTCTTGTGAGGTTGGTTTCCAGTTTCAGCTTGATGTTTCATCAACTATCACATCTTTGTTGATTGAGACCTGACTTGTCTTATATCTTCCTATTGAATTGAGTGATAGCCAATCAACATTAATGGAATCCCCTTGTAATCCAATTTTCTTATCAACTTTACTAGAAACATGTTTATAACGTTGAGAACCAAATATATCCTCAAGTGAGTGACATCTAGTTTGACTTCAGTCCATGCTTCCTCAGGTTTGATATCATCCAGCCTTTTAGTGAGAGACCTATTTTAAGACATATGTGGCTATTAAGACAGTCTATCTCCATAGGTAGTTTGGTATACCTTTACTCTTCAACATACACCCTACCATATTAAGAGAGTTTTATTTCTCCTCTTAGTTGTGTCGTTGTGTTGGGGTGTATAATGAGGTGTGACTTCATGTAATAAACCTTCGTCCTCATATAATTTATCAAATTTTGTTGATATATATTCACCTCCATCATCAGTTCTTAAGATCTTAATTTGTTTTTCACTTTGCTTTTTAACCATGCATTTTAACTTCTTGAAGACATATAACACCTCATTTTTTTTCTTTTCAACAAGCATATTCACATTTTTTAATCAAATCATCAATGAATGAAATGAAATATTTGTTACCTTTAGGGATTTCAATATATATAAGTCCACAAATATTTGAATGTATCACTCCCAATTTTTCTTTTGCCTTTTGAGATAGGAATTTACTAGATGTTCCTTTGGTTTGCTTGCATTGAACACACTCCTTGCACACTTCATTTGGAATTTCTACCTGAGGCAATCCTATAACCATATTTTGCTCGCCAAGTTAATACAAATCTCTGAAATTTAGATGTGCATATCGAAGATGCCACAACCATTTTGTTATGCTCTCTAATGTGGCAAAACATTGATACTTCAATATACTCATTCCAACCTAAAAAAGTTATGTTTTATGACAGATTAGCTTGTATAACCAACTTCTTGTTTTTATAAAAAATATTGAGGCAATTATTCTCTATTGTCATAGTAAACCCTTTATGCAGTAATTGGCCGAAGCTTAAGAAATTTGTCTTCAACCCAAGTACATATACTACCTCTTTAATCACAATTTCTCTATCATCATGATCTCTTAGTACCACTCTTCCAGTGTCCTTTGTTGTCAAACTACTATCATCTACAAATCTTATCTTACCATGAGTTACTTCATTGATCTTTACAAACCAATCTTTTTCTGTTAGTCATATGAGTCGAGCAGCCTTAGTCAAGGTACCATGATATGTCATCTGATAAATCTGTATTAGTATTTTTCATTAGCATAACTTTCTTCTTATCAAATTTTTACTCCTTATCTTCATTGGAGTTAGCACTTACCTTTTGGTTCTTGCATTTGATAGAGTCTTCAAAATTACTAGATTTTTTATCTTGTGATTTTTGCTTGTTGTTAAACTTGTCTCCTTTCTTCAGTCCTTTATTCTTTCCTTTGTAATGAGACCTTGCTTGAAGTGTTTATTCTTGACTATATTTTCTCTCATTAATTTTGTACTCATGTGCTATGTGCTTCAAGTGAATGTTACAATTCTTCAATCTTCATTGTATCCAGGTCTGTTGTCTATTCAATTATTACTATCACATGATCATATATTGGAGATAATGTCCTCAAAATTTTATCCACAACATGTTGATTTGAGATACTATCCTTGCAGGCTCTCATGGCATTGACATGTTCCTAAATCTTGTCAAAGTAATATGCTATTGTTTCATTCTCCTCCATACTAAAAAAACTCAAATTGTCTTCTTAAGATTTGTAACTTCACCTTCTTGCTTTCAACACCATCACCGAACGTCTTTGTCAAGATATCCCATGCAATGGATGTCTTAGAGATTTTATTGAAAATCTTAGAGCCTACACACCAGTATATGAGAAATCGAGTTTTACTATCTAGCTTTTGTTGCAATTTGAAATCCTTCTCTTCTACACTGTCATTTTGTTTAGGTTTCATCTACTACCATTTCAACCACATCTTGAAAAGAAAAAGTTATGAAAATTTTGATTTTCCAATCATCAAACAGTTTCGCATAGAAAATCGATAATGGTATTTGTATCATGCTCCGAACTCCAACCATACTTGTACATCTTATCTCTTCTTGATATAATATTCAACTTAAGATTCTTCTTTTTTTTATAAAAAAATTCACATTCTCAACGAAGAAATAGTCTCACATATACACTTCTCATTCAACAAGAATAAAAAAGACAAGAAGAAATTATTAACAACACTTCTCACCTCTCCTAATTTTTGGATAAAAAACATTATTATATCATATAAGAACAATATACCAATAACATAAAAAAAACTCACCAACTTCTTATTAAGCTTATTATTATTATTATTATTATTATTATTATTATATATATATATATATATATATATATTTAATGCAAGAAATGAGGGTACCGTAACATTTTTAGGATAAAATATATTTTTTGTTAGGTAAAATCTTAAATATATTTGCAACAAATTTGTATGTTATTTTTATCCTCTAAATTTAATCATACTTTTTAAGTTTAGTTAACAATGACAACATACAGAAATTAACGTTGATAACAATTATTGCACGTAAATTTTATAATTATAAGTTATTTTAATGGGGTGTATAAAGAGTACGTTAAAAAAACATTCTCATATATCGTCATTGCTAACAAAAATGTATAAATTATATTTAAATTTTTGAGAAACCCAAGAAATATGTTTAAATTTTAGATTAATGAGAATAATACTAAAGTTTTTGAATGCGTATTTAATATTTTAATATTTAACAGAGATATAAAATATATTTTATTCGTGTTTTTTAAAAACAAAATAAATTATTTAAAAAGAAAACTAAAATCTCAATATAACTTGAGAAAAATATTAGATAAAATCAGTAGAATTTGGTCTAAATTTAAATATTCATGTATTTGATGAAAATTCAAGTGA